ATCATTCTTAGAAGTGAGTCATAAAGACCTCGTAGTTTACATGTTCTAGAAGGTTACTCCTACATTATGTTCCATAATTAGTTATGATACTTCACAATAAAGGAAAATGATCTAATTGAGGATTGTTACTCTACCAAAAAGAAGCTTATATCTCCAAATCATGCCACAAGATATCTAAATGAATACGCACTAATGTTAAGTGTGTATTTGATTTTTTGAAGAATCATTTTGCAATAATATTGTGTGATCATTACTTTTCATTAGAAATCAAAATTGACATTATGCTTATTTATTGTATATTGCATAATTGGATTGTTATAGAATGTGATGATTATTTCATTTTCTTCAAAGATAAGTGGGCTAAAAGAAATTACTCTGAAATGATCTAGATGGAACAATTGTAGATGGTTCTAGAAAGTATTTGAAGAAAAGAGATGAAATTGCTATGGTCATGTGGAATCATAAGATGAATGTTAGTGCATGCATGATTTGTTATTAGCATTTTATTTACTTTGATATAAATGATATTTATTTTTTATGTAATCTTGGAAATAGCATTATATTAAACATAAATTTTTGGTATGCTATTTGTTATGTTTAGGATAAATGGAATCATACCCAAAAGTTGTCTACATATAAAACTAAGGCTTCATTTGGGACGGCTTTTTTATTGCTAAAAACATTTTTTTAATTTAAAAATTAAAATTTTTATATAAGAAAGCTGCTTTAAGAAACAATAAGAAAGCCATCTCAAATGAAGTCTAAGAAGAGGCAAAAAAAATTATGGAGCTTGAAACAAAAGTGAATAATTGGGTTGTTGTGAATTATATTTGATTATGTTGATGCAAATATGAGAATGGCTTAAGGCTTTAAAGGTGCTATTTACCAATGTGTTGTTTAAAGATTGAAAGAAAAATTCACAATGGATCTCATAGCTAAGAAATGTAAGAATAAAATTTGACACTAAAGAACTTTATTGAGTCACATTTAGGAGTTATGAATATATTGGGATGAAAATAAAAACCCAGCTAATTCAATAGTAGATAATTCCTTAGAAAAAACAAAGTACAAAGTACAAACAACAACTTATTGTTGAATGTCATTATATGTAAAAGCAACCACAAAAAACAACAACGAAGAGTATAAGAAAAAATAAAATAAATAAAATAAAAAATAAAAAATAAAAAAATAAAAAAACACCAAAGAGTAGAAGGAACAAGATAAATGGGGACATTCTTCTGTATTTGATGCCTAAACCACTCTTCAGCTGGTCCATAAAGCTCAAATAAGAACACATTCTTGATGTTGGAACTAAGCACTCATCTTCAACCTCTGAATTCAGATTTGGGTCTTCTTCGAAGACGATTTCGAGACCATTTCTTGCTCGACGGTGCTGTTGCATCCCTATTCTCTGAAGCTGCCGCCGCCGCCGCCGCAAGTACTGTGGAGAAGTAATGAGAGCCCCATTGGCCTCACCTTCAAAGTTGGCCGCCATATCTTGGGCCCTTGACATGTCTCTCTGCTGCTATGAAATGCCAAATGCCTTCTGTGCCTCATGAGGATTTATATAAGGAGTTTGTGGAAAATTGGTAATAAAATGAAGTTTTTTAGGCAATTTTAACTGGATGACAGAAAGATTTTTCTAAAAATATTGAATTAAATTGTGTTAGTATTTTAGGGGAGATAGAAAATTAGAAATTACTTGCATAATTGGATGGCTTGGAGGATTTCATGGCTGTTGCTTTGTTTTCTCTGCCTTAGTTTAGTTGTAATTTATTTTAAAATAGGAAGTAATTAGTTCTAATTAGAATAGTAATTACTATTGTTATAGTTGGTTTCACATGATCAATAGAAAATGTTTATAAGTTGTTGGTTTTGTATTTGTGCTTTGAAGTAGAGGAAAGAAAATCAAATCTTAAGGGGAAAAAACACAAACCAAAAAAAAAAAACATTGATCCATTTTTTATACAATTTAAAGAAAAATAGAGAGGGATATGCAACAAATTTCTCTGGAAATTTTATTTTTTTTACTATATTTAGACATAAGGTTTTGTTTGGAATAGCTTTCTTATTGCTTTCTAAAACATTTTTCTAGTACAAAAAAAATTTAGTTTAATTTTTTTTTTAATAAAAAGTTGTTTTAAGAAATAGTAAAAAAAGCGGCCCCAAGCAAAGCCTAATTTTCTTATAGCTATCACAAACACTACAGGAAAATCACACATTTCCGGCTGAATTTTAGCAGTTTCCGGCGGTTTTTTAATTTTCCGGCGGTTTTACGACGGCTTAATATATATATATATATTTTCTTTTACGAAAATCTTTCTTATATCGTTTTATTATATTATCCATTAAAATGTGAATAAATTTTATCATACAAAGTTTTGGACAAAATATATTCTCATACAATATAATCACATGAACAAAATGGATTAAAGTTAGTTATGACTATAAGAAGAAAAAAAAAATTTCCATCCATATACAATATGTTGAGTAGTTTGAAAAATAAGAAAATGTTAAAGATTTTAGGAATTGATGTACAATTTTTGTAGTGTTTGCTTAAGATTAATTTAAAATCTTTTTTTTTTGTTCAATCAAAGCATAAGTACTTGTGATGGAACATATGAACGGTTGCAATTTTGATGAACTGATTGATTCATATCATAATCAATTTATTATCATTTATTTTTAATAAGATTGCCATGCATAAATAATATACACTAGTTCTGATTGTTGTGTAAATGATTGAGTTATAATTATGCAATTTAAGGTTTCTATTCTTTCGTTAGGTCCTAGGGCATCACACAATGCATATTATTGCTTGAGTAATATGCAACTATTGCTACCCGATTCAAGATAACCTCAAGAAAACAACTATATGCACGAATAAAAATAAGAATAAAGGGTGGCAATTATTGCACTTAAATGATGGTGGCAAGTTGTTGTTGATCCTTCAAAATTTGTAGTATGTAATGACTATGCTACATAGAAGAAGGATACTATACAATAATAATTCAAAATAAAAGGTTAAATACCTTACTATTAATTAATGATGAAGTTGAATTCTTTTATTAGGGGTGGCTTATACCGTAAGATTCATTACTTCGAACCTAGGCACTGGGTGATGCCTTGCTAGTCCAATAAAAATAAGATGAGAGAAAAAAAATTAACGTGATGACACTCAGCTCGTGTGTATGAGCACAGTTGTGGAAGCATGCAAATTACATACAATTTATGCAAACAACATGTGATGTGCATCATAAGGTGCACATGTAGTGAATGCACATTGTGAGTTTCACATATAACATGCACACATAATGAGTTACACTTGCAATGGATGCAAACACAACATGTTACATATGTAGTGGGTGTTTTTATAGTTAGTTGCATGCTTATGACAATTACACACATAGTGTGTATGTGTGTCTAACACAGTGCATGTAAGGCCGTCACACACAAATTAGTGCGTACAAGTTAATTTACGTTGGACCAATTGCATAATGTCACTTTCTTGCACACCGGTGTGCGTGTGACACAATGTGCATATAATGCATTACAACAAATGTGCATGTAGAAGATGCACTAATGGTGTAGCAAGTAAATTGTCTAGCGCTATGTGTGCTCAATATTTGAGTGCAAATAGTTATTGGCAGCTGTCAAAATAGTTGTTGCCTGAACTTCTACTTAGAGAGAACCAAAGGAGGAAGAAAATAGAGGCCAACCACTTTTGAGACCAATAGGATGATTTATCAACTGCTGCAATCTTAAAGGATATTTGATGGTGAGTCGAAATTCATATTGGTGTGATCCATGTGTATGCTCAAAGGCTACGAGTATTCTTATATGCTATGCATAAATGCGCCCAGATATACCAATTTGGTGATGGCCACATATCTTATTGTTGTGCATATTAGTACACATTGAGATTATCAATATTCATTGAGGAAAAATCATTTGGTGGTGGCCAAAGATCTTCAAATCGGTGTCCATTAGCATGTACATGCAGGGGTTAATCTTGTTTATATATGTTGTAAGTGAACTTTAAAAGGAGTCCATTGTTTTTTTTTAATATGTACATCTATATTGGAAATTTTGATTAAGAGCCCCATGCTATTGTATTTTTAATTAACTAAATGATCAAAAGAATATATTTCTTATAATTGTGTTTTTTTTATAAATCTTTAACATTGGTCTTTTTGATCTCCATGCATTATAAATATTTTTTGGAGAAATTAATGAATGAGCTAAGAGAGATATTCTAGATTATGTAATGAACGAACCTGACCCAATAGACATCACGCTTACGCTCATTAAACCTTAAAACTAGGGGCCTATTTGGATGCAGGATACAAGTAGGATTTGAGCCAAATCCTGTTGAATTCCAAAAAATGCGATGCTAGATCTCATGCTATGTCTAATCTCCACTTCAAAAGCATTTTCATTATTTTTTTGTCCTAAATCCTGAATTTTAGTAAATCCGAAGGTTATAAAAATTTTTTAGATTTAGTCGAAGAAGTCATGAAGATCGTTTCCTTCGTGGCCAGCTCCCATTGTGACTTCCAATCTGATATTAGCGTTGTTGTTGAAGAGGAGGAAACAACTATTTTTTGTGACTCTTTGAAAACTCGACTTCACCTTATAGCGCGTGAAGACAAAGTAGTAACAAAGACATGGAGACGAGGAAAAGCAAACCCTATATAGGCCTAATACCATAGGAAGAATAAAGACAAAGATCAAAGAATAACAAAGAAGAATTTTGTTATTGTTTTGACTACGTGTTATAAATACAAATAATCAATGACAAAAAATAATAATTATCATTCAATATGATTTGATTAATTTTCTTATAATTATATAATATATATTAATTTTATTGTTAATATGAATTTTTAAAATTGTATTTTGACTGACAAATTTTAAATCTTCAAATAAGTATCTAAATAATTTTGAAAATTTAACGGAATTTAACTTCTATAATACTATTAAAACCTACCTGTACCCAAACTGCCCCTACGACTCCATTGATCTGCTCCGGGAACGAGTACGACCCCCAAAGGACCCGAAAGATCCGGCAAGTCGTGTCGGGCCATCCGTCTTCAGCTCTCCCTCAGGCCTCTCTCCTCTTCTAGCGTGTCCGCACGTAATAAATTCTCCTCTTCCTCGGCGGAGACATCGTGCGGAATGTCGATGGCGAGGTCGGTGTCCAGCCTGGCTTACCCGGAGAGATTCTATGCAGCCGCCTCCTACGTTGGATTCAGCGGATCTCCGAGCTCTTCCACCGCGGCTTTATCCAAGTTCCAGAGCGACGTTGCCCTTCTCCTCTATGGTCTATACCAACAGGTAATGCCCTTGTTTCTATTCCCCTTCTCCTTTTCTTGTCCTCATCTATTCCTCCCGGATCCAATTTACGTAGGTGTTTGTTCGGATCTTGGGTGAGGGGGTCTGATTTTGGCGTTGTTGGCTGACTTTGAATGCAGATCCAAGGGTTGCAACGTAGAATTGCGTTGGAAATTTGTTGTTTAATAGTTGATCTGAGTATCTTTTTAATGGCTCTTTTATGCAGGCTACTGTGGGACCTTGCAATGTTTCTAAACCGAGAGCTTGGAATCCGGTGGAGCACAGCAAGTGGACTAGGTTAGTAACCCTATGATTACGAGGGAAATGAGCTGACTTTGTTTCAGGGACATTGATCTTGCTATTCTTATTTGTAAGAGCTATGAAAATACTCTATTAGAACATTAGACAAAGAGAGTTGTGTATACCTTCTGCATAGTGTGATCTTTGATAACAATCATGCTGGTTATGTGCGCCATGGGGCATGCCTGCTACATAACACTGAGAACAATGCACGCTTGGTGGCTTTATATGCAAGCCCGAAGTGGTTGCGAGAATCACTGCAATGAGAAAGCATTGCGTAACTAATTTGACAAAGGAAAAACTATTCCTGGTCTTTCTTACAATTGGCATGCGTGGGAGAGATTATGGTTCAGCTTTTATGTCAAACAATGATTTTTTAATGCTGAAATTTGTGGATCATGTTTAATGTTGAACGTGTTGAATTTGTAATTTGAATTAAAAGTAACATAATTTAAGAATAATAATGTTCAATTAGCATTCCAGAAGATGTCGAGGAATCTCTTAAATTATGATTGTTGAACCGTTAAGTTGGAGTTATGGATTTTCCCCCAAAAAAAAAAAAGTTTGTGTTATGGCATTTCTCATTTTACTGATAATTGCAAACTTCCTACAAGTTTAATTGCCTTGATTACCCATAAATAATTTTTTCTACAACTTGGACAACTCTTGTTATAACTTGAAAAATAAAAGGAAACAAAATCTTAGACTAACTTTAGCTTTGATCTGATTTTTGTAAACCATTAACCCAAAAAATTCCTCCCACTTCTGCATGGCTAATTTTTCTTAAACGACTGCTATGCATCTTTATATCCGGCATTCATATGGATTTTGTGCATGCTATAGGTATCATATACATTAAAATGCTAGGTTGTGGTATGTGTGGTGCATTTTTCATTCTCTTATAATTACTTTCTACATTCCAAAGCAACTACACAATCATGTTTATCTCATGCGTTTACATTCCAGTAGTTTGTTACATTTTCATCATCATTATCAATCCTATCTTTATTTAAGATAAGTTTTGTGAATCCTCAATATTTTTTAGTTAAGCATCACATGAGATGTTAGTTATAGTTGACACTTGATTTTTTTTTTTTTCACAACTTATAACCATGTTATTTTTGTCTACCTATTATCTTTATTTTCTCTTACATAAATACTATATTTTCACCTTGTCAGGGCTTCTTTTGCCCTCTCTTTTTATGTCAAAATCACCTAGATTTCATTTTCAATAACTTATCTTCACCACGTGCTACTATAACCGTCCCTCTTAAACAGCTAATATTAGATTATGATTCTTTTTTTATTTGCTAGGGTAATATTTATTTACCCATCTCAACAACGCAAACTACATTACATAGATGAAATTAACTTTTTGGAAATCACTTTTGTTTTAAAAAAGTTTGTTATTGATATCAACCATCCAATATGGATGTGATGGCTGAAGTGCTAATTGCACATGGTGCAATTTCCTAGTAATTGGGGAGAATCTGAATCAAACACTTTCTCCATCTGCTTAGTAATACAATGACATTAACATCTCTTTTTTTCAACTCCAAATTATGTTGTCAGTGATTAATCTTTTATCCAACACTTAAACCATACAACATAGCTAGTTAATTGTAGCTTTATAAAATTTATATTTAAATCACTATGATTTTCTCTTATTGCACAATAGCTATGGCATTTCTCCATTTTAACCAACTATTTTTTAATCTAGAACTTATTCTTCACAATAGACATAGTTGAACCCCCACACATCTAGATACAAGTTGATCTTCTTGCTTTATTAACTATGAACTAAAAAAAAAAAACAAAAACTATGAACTACCAATTTCATATCCAAAAAATTGTATCAAGTAACTTTCTTATCAAGTTGTTAGCCTTGGTTATACTAAGTTGTGTTTTTAATGATCTAATTGTGAGTCAATTAAAGCCATTTAGTCCAATCTTAAGTCAGGCCCCTTCATCTTTGGCTCCTTCTAAATCCAATCCAAATGGTAATAATTGTAATGTGATATGGTTTCTTACCCTAATTTCTACACTATATTACTACGAATGAGATTATTTTGATTGTTGGTGTAGATGATGGTGTTCATCAACTCTTGCTTCACTTGTATGCTTAGGGTGAACAAGTCCTCTTGTGTTTTCACATAAAACCGCACTGCTTTATCCTTTGGCATGGCCATCATGGATACAAATGGGCCTGTCTTGTCCAATGGACTTGGTATGGTAATGTCCACCCCAACAATAATTGTTTTTTTTATTTTCTTTCTTCTTTGCGATATTTTTCATTGGTATGACTAGGAATATAGCAATGTTCAAGAACTTAACAGGGACATTTGTCTTGTTAGAGAAAATGTTATCCCTAGTCCTGTTTTTCTTCTTTCTTTGGTGAAAGATAGTTAATGGGTCCTCTTCTTATTGCCTTGATTCTTGCACTCTATGACCATCGCCATTATTGTGGCCTAGTTGAGATCGGTGATCGGAAATAGGTGTTCACTTGCAATTTATGAATAAAGTTCTAAGGTGCATTTCATCAAAGTTTGTACATCTCAAAAGTTTTCTTCCAAAGTGACCATGTGAAGTCCGAGCTCTGCGATTTACTCCTACAAAGTTTATTCTTGGCATTGTCTTAAATTTTGTTCATTGCTTCCACTGATATTCTACATACCCATTGGGTAGAATATTTGGCTTCCACCGGTATGAGTTTCTTGAAGAATTTCCAGCTCACATTTTGATGATCATTTATCTCTAGTGAGTATTCCGCCACGCTAGGGCATGATGCTTGATTACAGTTGGGCGAATGCAACCTTGTCCGGTGTTATACTAGTGCAAGGTGAAATAAGTCTTTAGCTATTTGTTCTATGCACCTTTGCTCATAACTAGGAATCTTCATTTTGGAATGTTCACATCCTTTTTTATGAGTTGTAGCCGTATCTTGATCTTCAACCTCTCCAATCATGTTTACATTTAGCATGGACGCAAGAGGAGAAAGAATATGACTTGACCTACTTGTCACAACAATGATCATTTGCATCCCCATCCACTCAATCATGGTGATCATTTGCTTCATCAATCTTAGCCAATTGGTCCGCTAGGTTTGGTATGGAATATTTTTTGTCCGTTGATTGGTTGTGTTTATCTTCTATTTCTTCTTCTTTGTCTTCTTTCTCATCTGTTTAGTGATTTTAGATATGTTTTTTTTTTTTGGGAAAATTTAGATATGTTTTCAAGACAAGAAGGAACTCTCTCTTGTCTTTATATCCCATCTTTATTTGTATCATATACCAAGAACTGTTGTTCTAATACCAACTAGATCTATAAATCAATCTCTTAATTGAGTTTTCTCATAGTCGATAGTTTTCTTTCTTTAATTTTTAGTTTTTCTCTGCTGGACATCAAGAACAAAGCATTGTTTTAGAACTAGACGGCTTAAAAACAACATTTTAGTCTAGTCTTTCCCCCTTTTTCAATGCTTGAATGAACTCATGACTTGGTTCAATAGCTGGGCACCTAGATTGCAATGTCAACTTTGGAGCATCCAGTAACACCAAACAACTAAATAGAAGCAAGCATTAAACAGGTAAAATAGCAGAAAAAGTAGCAAAAAGAAAGTAAATAGTTGTGGATTGCAACTAACAGTAGAGGAAAAAAATAGTGGAATGCAACCAACAGCAAACAACAGCTTATGATATAGGAACCGGGAGGCATGCTATAGTAACCTAAGAGGAGTCTCATGGATTCAGCTACAGTAGCAGGAGTAAAGTTTGTTGGAGGAAGTAACTTCTATTGGAGAAGATTAAGAGCAAGTGATAAAACTCAGGGGAAAAAATTCTTGTAATTTCATCGCAGGAACTAGGATCTTTAAATAGAAGATTACTATATAGAGTAAAAAAATTAATCAACTCCTAAACATTCTCTACAAAAACAGTACAACAACAAGTCAACAACCACAAGCTTTTATGCTACTACATGGGGTCGGCTGTATGAAACCTTTTTGTCCAAGATGTCTTATTAAGAGTAAAATTCTCATTTAAATCTAATTAAAAATGCCATTTTTAATACTTTTTAACCATGTCTTTTTAGGCCTTCAGCTACCCTTTCTAACATAGGTTGGAGCTAATACATCTACTCTCCTTAAAGGGTCATGAAAGGTCGATTATGTTATCAAACCATCTAAGGCGTCTCTCTCTAATTTTATCCGCCATAGGAGTTACTCCAATTTTTTCACGTATATACTCATTTTGCATTCTATTCCAAAGTTAAAATCCATTCATCCACTTGAGCAACCTTATCTCTATAACATTTAACTTAATTTATGCTTCTCTTTTAATGGCCCATATTCTACCCCATAAAGCATTGCAGATCTCATTAACATCTTTTACAAATTTTCCTTAAGTTTGAGAGGTACTTTTCACACAACAAACTCGATGCATTCCTCCACTTCAACCATCTTACTTGAATTCTACTAAGAATATCCCAATCTATTTCACCATCACTTTGAATAACAGGCCCGAGATTATCCAAAAGGTGCACTTGTTTTTAATACTTGATCACCCAATGTCACAATCCCATCACTAGATCTATTCTTATTAAAATCACACTCAATATATTCAGTTTTAGATCTACTCAAATGAAAACCTTTGAGCTCTAAGGTTGACATTTATATAATTTAAAATTTTCATCAATTCTTCTCTAGTCTTATTAATAAGAAGAATATCATCAACAAAAATCATACACCAAAGTAGATCCTCTTGCAAATGCTTAGTAAAACCATGATTAAAGCGAAAAAGACATGGGTTTAAAGCTGATCCTTGATGTATTCCAAGTGAACTAAAAAATACTTGGTCCAAGTACCTTGTGCTTGATACAAGTAACAATTCATGTATACATATCCTTAATGATTTGAATATAAGCATTATTAACGCCTTTCATTTTTAGAACTCTTCAGAGCACTTCTTTTTGAACTTTATCATATGTTTTATCTAAATCAATAAATATCATATGCATAGTCTCCTTACTCTCTTTATACTTCTCCATCAAAGCTCCCAACAAACGTATAGCCTCCATAGTAGACCTACCTGGCATGAATCCAAGCTGATTTGAATAAACATTAGTATCATGTCGTAATCTATTCCCAATTACTCTCTCATGTAATTTTAATATATAACTTATTAACTAAACTCCTCGATAATTTACACACTCTTGTGCATAACCTTTATTCTTAAAAATAGAAACCAACACACTCCTTCCATCTATCTGTCATCTTTTTAGTTTCAAAATAATATTAAAAAGTTTACTTAGCCAAGAAAATCCTTATCCTATAAGCATTTTCACACTTCTTTTGAAATATCATCAGGTAATCTTTTTCACACTTTATTTTCTTTAGAGCCTCTTTAACTTCAATATTACTAATATGAGAAGCTAAGATCACTAAAGTCAATCATATTCTTACAGCCTTCAGTGAAAATTTTATCAAAATATCTTATCCACCTATTTTGAATATCTTATTCTAAGAAAAACACTTTTTGATCTTCATCCTTAATGCACTTCACTTTAACATTATTATTGTCGGGTCCCAAGCCATGAATGAGAAAAGTGGAATGTTACATTTGGTAGTTAACAATCAACATAAAAATTGTTTAACAATCATAAAATTAATCCACAAAAGAGTAAACCTTATATATAATTGCATATTAGATAATGTCAATTTAAAAGATAATCCTAACAAAAATTATCCTAATCCTAAATTAAAATTTTAAAACAAGCTTATTTAAACAAATTTTCAAACTCATCATAATGCTGCTATAATTTGAGTTTTAATTCAATAGTTCAATTTTTGAAGTTTTTTCTCTCACACATCTGATTGACAACCAATCATACCTATGGAATCCTGGCTATATTCTCTTCGATCTCAATGATTAATATGATCTTTACCACACTCGTCAATTTTCATGGAGACATTGTGCTATTTAAACTTCAATGAACATGATCCCCTCAAAGTTTCCACAAGCTGATGCTCAAATTATATAGGTGATTTGATTGATGGCTTATTAGATCTGGTTCCAATATGGCGTTTAGTTCTATAGAATTAAGATCATTGATGGGCATGTGCCAAACCTGCTGTTGTATGAATTGTAGACTCAAAGTGCTATATGTTTTGTATGAATTGTTGCAGTGCTTATGTATTTTGCGGTTAAAAATAATGAGAATTTGTAATAAAATATATATTTTAGATGTAAGATTTTTAAATTTTGTTTATGATTATCGTCATCTTGATTATATACTATTTTTGCACTATATTGTCTTTACAGTTGGCATGGACTTGGAAACATGGCTTCAATAGAAGCAATGCGTCTGTTTGTGAAAATCTTGGAGGTGCATGTCAAAACTTACGCTGTCACTAAATTGCATTAAAGATAGGTAACCGATATTATAGAATTCTTTACAGGAGGAAGATCCTGCTTGGTATTCAAGGGTCCCAGAACCTACTGTGAAACCTAATTCTGAAATGCATGTAAGTATGCTGCTTAATTCTTGATTTATTTAATGCTGTCAATGGAAAATGTTTATAACTATGCCAAGGCCAATTATTTATGAATTTATCATGTTTTTGTTGTTTAAATTTTTTAAGGCTTAGTTCTTCACGGTATCACTAGGTTGCTAACGTTTTGATATTTACTTTGTTCTTCTACTTGCAATATGCATGTCAGTAGAAATAATAAATTGTCTATTTTCTTGTTAGCGTCTTTATTTTGGCATTCAAAATATTTATAAGCTGAAACCGCACATTTGTCTTTACTGGTAAAAGAAAAAAAGTTACATGTTGAGTAGATAATGTATTTTTTTAGTCATGGTAAAGATGCCGTAAATTTCACATGAAAGCCTTTTAGACGTGTTATATTAAGTCTTTCTTTTCTCAAACTTGTTTGATTTGATACCCCCCGGATCATGGATTTTTTTTTTAAAACTTTTTGGTTGTCTTTGGACATCTTAATATGTGCCTTTTGACTGGCTAGTGAAGGTCTAATTGTTGAAAATCCTGGATTAGACATTATGCTCCATGTCTTATTCATGGAAAATTTTGTATTCATGCATGCTATAGATTTTGCTTGGGATCTGGGATTTGGAAAATAGGCTGATAGTTTGGTTGAGTTGTCTCCGTTATACTATAATGGTTATAACCTGTTACAAAGTCTTTGTTTTATTTTATGATATTTGCATATGTTAATTTTCATTGTCATATTTCTTCTCTTGACTCATATTATATATTTTCTTTTTCCATCATAAGGTCAACAACTCAACCTTTCATAAAATGTTTTATTTTGATTTTGTCCGTGCTTTCAATTAATGTAGTTTTTTCATCATTATCATGTTTATGCTAGCTGTTCTTAATGATATATTCCTATTTTCAGAAACAAAATTATGTAGTTTCCACATATATAGAGAATGCATCGGTTCATTTATTCATTAAAGTAACAAATGCAGGCACATACGATATATGCCAGCAAAAATTAAATACAATTGAGCTTAAATTCATAGCTTTATAGTACGGCCATCCACATATATAGAGAGTGCATTGGTTCATTTATTCATTAAAGTAACAAATGCAGGCACATACGATATATGCCATAAAAAAATTAAGTACAATTGAGCTTAAATTCATAGTTCTATAGTACGGCCATCTCGGATAATTTCAAGACCAAGGCAACTGAGAGATATGTTACCAAATTGCTTTTTCATAATTGTTAATGCTTGCTGTACAAGTTAGCCTCACTCTGGGAAATGATTTGCACAGATTTCTTATATATTTTGAAGTTTAAAGAAAATTCAACACTCTTAAAAATATGAAGTTGTTGCTTTACTAATTGATTATTATATATATAATATTCAACATATTTTTCATTGGCACTGTTTAACCGGTCAATGAAAATCTCATAAGTCAATAATGCAGTCTTAATGCCCTAATATGGTCTATGCAATGCCTTATAACAATTAGCAAGCATAGAACATGTAAACTAAATCATTAAAGTTACTTCAGAAGCTTTTTGTTTCACAACTTTGATATGAATCCAAATACCAACTAAAAAAATCATGACTCAATAGGCATTATGCAATCTCTAACTTTTTAGATGAACAATAAGTGCACAAATATACTTATTGAAGTTCATCTATACAACTAGTCAACAGATGCTAAGTTATAAGAATACATTTTTCAAGTAGCAATCCGAATTAATATACCGTCCAATTAAATATTAATCTAGTCATATGCGCTTTCAAATAATTCATCTACCTACTCTTGAATGCATGATCAAAAGCCACACCAATTAGTTTATAATTTGAGGCTTACACCTCAGCTTGGTTGAGGCTCGCCTCGCCTCACTGGCATGAGGCTTACGCCTTACCCTATATATATTAGTTCAATAAATCAAAACATAGCCCTAACCTTAGGGAGAAAAATCTACTTAAAGCAAAACACAATTACCTAATCCCCAAATAGCCCCTTTTGAATTTTCCCTCCCAAATCCATCCTTAATTAATGTTTAATTGATTGTTGGGCCCCACCACAGAATCTTGCCCCCTACCCCTACTAGGAGGAACCCTTATTCTGCTTGGTGTATACATGAAGAGGTTCAGGGTGGACCGGTCTAAAACAAGATTATTTGGCCCACCAACAATTTGTTTGATCGGCTTTTGATCTCTAAAGTGGAGACTAGAGATCCAATGTTTGAATTTTGCAAAAAAAAAGGAGGTTTTTTATTAATGTAATTGAGACTAAATTTGATGAAGTAAATGTTAAACTTAAAATTCTCATCAAATTATAGAAACAATTTTTGTGAGTAAGATAAGTTTTTAGCAAAACCAATAAGAAATGCATTTTCTTAGGGCATTCTAGTGATATTTATGTTCTTTTGCAAGATGCTTATTTGTACTTTGCAAGAACATTGTCAAATTATTGTTTTTGTACAAGATAAATTTCATTTTCGTGCAAACCTAGAAAACATGTCTTGTGTTAAAATTTTGTGAGGATGTTCTGAACAAACTAATTTTCAAATTTAATTAATGTTGTCAGCAAATTGTATTGACCAAAGAACTTAAGAAATAAATAAATGTAGTAGTGTGTGTGTGTGTGTCTATATATATATATATATATATATATATATAATTTTGTGTCAATAATAGAAAAGTGCAAGTCATTTTTTTTTGTTTAGTTTAGTTTGCTCAAGAAAAATGGCGTTACAGAATGAATCTCGCTTTGCAGACGTAGGATTTCATTCTCCATAAGGTACATTGTAGTTAACTAGATTTAAACATTTTCTGGTCGGATCTAAGGTCTTTGATTTGATTGTTCCTGTCTGTTGATTGACTCTGTTTGTTTATTATTGTAATTATTAAAAATAAGATCACATGTTGGAAGTAGTTTTATGTGTGAACATCTCAGATTGGCGTACAAGAGCCGGCTTGCTTACATTTGGAGTAGAGATCATCACAGGACGCTGGGAGCAGGAATTCTATCGAGCAGGCGATGGGCATAACAGACGGGCACGAGGGCGGATTGCGAAGACGGGCTAAGTCGGAGGGGTTTCGTGTGACTGGATTTGACGCGTGCAGAGGAGTCGAGGGAGTGACGTGTGCGCGGCTGTGGTCTATAGGCTGGGGGGGGGTCTTGTGCGGCTAAGTGAACGAGGCCGATGGAGCGGGGGTGAAGCCTAATCGCGGGTCCTGCATGCAGATGGAGGCAGATCGGGAGCGGGCTTCGTGTGGCTAGACTTGTGCGCCGGGTCGCCTCGTGCAGAATAGAGAACGGTAGAGGAGGGGGACTTTGGTTTGGGGTCTCATGTTCGGCATTTAGAGATCGAGCGGGAGATCGGCCTTCCATTCCTGCGTGAGTGAGAGTTTGAATGAGGAGGAGAGCGGACTGGGGTGGTTTTATGCCGTGAGGGGAGTTAGATAAGTAGTTGTGTCGGTAGGGAATAAACTGTTTGAGGCAGGGCCGGCTTAGAGGCGGAGGTGTTCCTTATGGATATGTTGGATTATAAAAAAAATCCAATGAAATTTTTTTGTTTAATTTTTTTGAAATGTCAAATTAGATTATGAATGTTCTATGTTTGATTTGTTCTTTTTTTCCGTCAATTGCTAATATAAATTTTACTTACTAGTGTGTGTGGCTGGGCACTTGCCTCGGTAAGTGTAAAACATCTGTAGAATGATAACTATGCTATCACCTATTGATGTTCATATCATCTCACATGTCATTTTACCATTTTCTGGCTGCTGACCTGAATTATTTCCTGGTGAAACAAGGGAATTGATGTAATTCAAAATATCATTTTAATAAATCTGTTTGATTATTGTTACCTTTAAACGCAAATATTCCCATTGTATGATTTAAGATTAGGCAATCATTTTACAAAAAGGTTTTATCATTGAAATGAAACATTCTGGAATGTGCATTTGGCTAGAAGGTCTTATATATTGATACCATGAACCTTGAATAAGCACTACTACTACTCACAGTGCGGTGGTTTGGTTTGATATTTTGGGGGTTCTCTTTGTTACAAGTGCATCTTTTGTCCTGAGTGAAACCATAGAAGCTCTTGATCTTTGTACTTAAGCATCATGCAAACTATATTGGAATCAACTTTCTTTCGCTTTGCAGAAGAATAAATTACTGCACGCACAGATATTTACAAGCATTTTCCATGCTATTAGGCCCTATTCTTTTCTCGTGGCATGCTATGATAATGTTCTTTCCATGCAACACCTGTACTAGCGTAAATGGTAAAGATAATTGCTGCCTTTTTTCTAAGTCAAATCTATTGTCATGTATGATATTTTTCTGTGCATACAATTGACTATCACCCTATTCATCTGTATTTTTTTTCTCTCTCTTTCAATTAGAAGCCAAAAGTGGAATCATCTGGTGAGACAGCTATTCCTGACGGGACCTTTTTTCCTGAGCCTAAACATATTTCAACAGAAAATGGGGGTCCTATTGAGACCCAGGATAAAGATATTATAATGGAAGGGCTTGGTGCTATTGCTATTTATGATAAATGGGTTGCACCACCAATTTCTGGACAACAACCAAAGCCTAGATATCAGGTCACTGGATGGCAATGCTTTATTGATTAGCAAGTTTTAGAAAATCCTTATGCTGCTTACTAGTTTATTTTGTGGTGTCTCAGCATTGAATAATTTATTTCTTTGCAGCATGGCGCAGCTGTTGTGAAGGATAAGATGTACATTTTTGGTGGGAATCACAATGGCCGATACCTCAATGATCTTCAGGTATATAATAGTTATTGAGATTATCTATTTTTATATATTCTGCAGAGTCTGTCAATTCATTATTAAAACTAGTTAACTGTGATGCAATAGTGACTTATAACCTTATTGCAGAGAAATTTGTATGAACTATTGGAAATGATTAATGATTCTTCTCCTGTTTCCTTAATCTTAAATTTACCTTAATGATATATTTTCCTCAACTTGGAGAAAAGGTTCTCGATTTGAAAAGTTTGATGTGGTCAAAGATAGACGCTAAAGTAGCAAAAGGGACCTCAGAATCATCAACACCAGCCCATGTTGCTCCTCTTGCTGGGCATTCCCTGGTAATTAGTGGAGAATTCAAGTTCTATGTCCTTGTAGTTGCTATTAGTATGCCACGGACTCTGTTGCATGTATTGATTGGTATCTTATAGAACTTTTTTTTAAACTCTTTTTTCAGATTTCATGGGATGATAAGATTCTATCCGTTGCTGGTCATTCAAAAGATCCATCTGAGACTGTCACAGGTTTCATTTACTTTCAAGTTGATGTTTTAGCAAATTATCTTTATGTCCAGCTTCCTGTTGAATAATTTCATTGTATTCTGGTGATAGTTAAAGAATTTGATCCGCAGACTTTGACCTGGTCCAATTTAAGGACTTATGGGAAGCCACCGGTAGTTTTCCTCTTTGATTGCATACTGTTCTTCTTTCTTATATCACAATGATAGCCCATTTTCATCTCTAACTTTAGTTTGAACCAGAGGCGATGCATTTGTGATGATTAAATATTTGCTTCTATACCAAAGATGAAAACATAATAAAAAGCTTATTTCTGATCTTTCTATAATCGTCTTTCATCCAGATTTCTCGTGGAGGTCAATCAGTGACCCTCGTTGGAACAACTTTAGTCATGTTTGGCGGGGAAGATGCTAAAAGATCTCTATTAAATGATCTGCACATTCTTGACTTGGAAACCATGACCTGGGATGATGTAGATGCTATGTAAGCAGGAGTATTTCTTACGCCTTTTTTTAGCTTATCATTATATATATATATAATAATAAATATAAAGAAAAAGCTTAACTTAACTACTACCATTTATTAGCTCGTCTTATTAGAATAGTGAAATGAATTTTTGATATATATTGCTTCTAAGCTGTCATTTATTAATTATTAAAGCTCCAAAAAGAAAGGCACTTGTGATCTATCAAACAATGGTTGGTGGACCCTTTCTCCTCTCTACAAATGATGGATTGTTAATATGTTATGCATGCTGCAATCTCCCTCTCCACTTGCAAAATAATCTCCTGCCTCTACTTCCATTGCTACTCTCATAGCCCTTTTAGTCCATGATAGTCATCTCTGCTCTCTCCTTACTATGCGCACCCACCCTCCCCTCCTCCTGTGTTCCATATCTCTTTCCTCTCCAGTATCCACTGACTTCTGTGATCATCACTACCATCTGGATGATCCTTGGCTGCCTCTTCTCCATCTTCTTTCACCGCTCTATCAATGCCACCTTACGAGTGAGTTTGTTCTCAAAAGCACACATGTTTCAGCTCCTTTTGGCATGTCACATTGGGCAACGTAATATAAAACTCCAAGGAAGTCATTGAAAGTACTCGAACGAGTCCAAGAAAATATTTGCATTAAGTATCAGTCAACTGAGAGGTGCAGGCTGCAAAATTTAAATTTAGTCGAAGTTGGGACACTTTGATCTTTTGAAGTACATCATGCACAGAGACCACATGGTTCTGCCTATAAATTCTGCACAAGGACTGCATTTTTTGTGCTAATACTTCTGTTACTTCCAGGTTAAGTTTGGAACTGATTGGATTACCCTGATCTTTTGCAGAACCATTGATCAGCCTAATTCATTATCTGTTTCCTTCTTACAAACTAATCACTCCCTAGAATATTCTTATACTTATCCCTAGAAAGCTGCATTCTCTGCCTTTCTAGCAACGGCTTGTTGATACTATTTGCTTTTTTGGCCATATTAAGTATTTGGCAGTATTATGTTTCTGAACTCTTGATGGTCATTTACTAAATGTTTTTGCATCATTTAAAATCAAATATTATCTTTTTCTAGTTTCTCTTAGCATGCTTATGTAATTTTGACTGAACTCACATAAAGTATACAATGAATTTTCATTACTTTTTTTCAGAGGTACACCACCTTCTCCAAGGTCAGACCATGCTGCTGCTTGCCATGCTGAGCGGTACCTTCTTATATTTGGTGGGGGCTCTCATGCTACATGCTTTAATGATCTTCATGTCCTTGACCTGCAAACTGTAAGAAGGCTACTTCTCATTATTGCGATGTTTGACCATAACAGTTCAGAAAAGCCTTTCTTGAATTTCTTTAGTTTGCAAACTTTATTGCAGATGGAATGGTCAAGGCCAAACCAACAGGGTGTGACTCCTGGTCCGAGAGCTGGTCATGCTGGAATAAAAGTGGGGGAAAACTGGTTTATTGTTGGGGGTGGTGATAATAAAAATGGTAATGGTATAAAGTTTCCACTTTCCAAATTACTTGACTTCTCAAACATGAGGTTTTGTAGTTCTAGTTCAATATGCTTTTCTGTCATGGTTCTACATAACACGTTTTCTTTTTTTGTTTAGTCTATATTAAAATATTCTGCATTAGATATATGTTTGAAGTAGATTAATGAGTTCTGATATGTAGTATATCATCTTACCGAGTTTTTCATCATGGTGAGGCCAAGTATTTCTGAGTTGATGTTGTCATCAGGCATGTTAGCTTTGAGACTGTCCTTTTATTTAGTTGTACATATGAAAGATTAATTGGTTAATTTATTATCGTACTTACATTTTCATCTGTTATTGAGAACCTTGGGGCTTATGAAGACGGTGCAAATGTAAGATAAAATGATGTTAAGTATAAAGTGGATGTGAAAATAGTTTGCAACCCCTGGAGAGGATACTGGCAAAGTTCTAGTATTCAGCCACAAAGTTATCATCAACCCTTGATTGCCGTATGACAAACATCTATACAAACTGTTAAAACTGAGAATTTGAGAGGAAAAAGCTTGAAATTCTTCATTACAATCTTCCCTATTTATAGATCTATACAAGATATCCTAATGAGGAAATAATAAATTGCAGATTTAATACATAAAAATCTTTCCTAAATTTGTTCCTCCATTATGGCGTGATCCACGAGAGTATCCCACGGATTGATCTTTGTGTCCGTCGAATCCTTTGCACTGGGAACGGCTGGATTTCAACACTCCCCCTCAAGCTGTGAAATATGGATCTGTCATCCCCAGCTTGTCAATCATTCTGAGAAAGGCAGAACTGTCCAATCCTTTAGTAAGGATATATGCAAGTTGATCCTTTGATGATACATGGTCGACACTTACTAGACCACTGTCTAGTTTTTCTTTAATAAAATGTCTGTCCACTTCTATGTGCTTGGTCCTATCATGCTGGACTGGATTGTGGGCTATGCTGATTGCTGATTTGTTGTCACAATGTAGCTTCATGGGCTCATCCCACTTAACCTTCAAATCTTCTAGGATTATTTTGATCCACAGTAGCTCACATATTCCCAAGGCCATAGCTCGATATTCTGCTTCTGCACTAGATCTTGCCACCACATTCTGTTTCTTGCTTCTCCATGTAACTAGGTTACCTCCAAGAAATGTGCAATACCCAGAAGTAGATCTTCTATCAACCGGTGATCCTGCGTAGTCAGCATCCGTGTA